AAGTGCTCTACCACTGATCTATATCCTCAGGTCTCCCATCACCTTTAGAATAAATTTCAAGGCCAAAATAATGGCATGAGTTAATAGTGTCACTTATCACCCACGTGAAGAGGAAACACAGGAAGACAGGAAACTGGTTTAGGAGGTTTCCAGGGGAAGGTGATACATCCTGTTTTGTGTATGTTGGGCTTCAGATGCCTGTGTGGCCTCCAGGAGGGGACATCCAGGAGGCCAGTGGATTCTGGGATTTGGGATCTGGAGCTCAGGAGAAAGTTTGGGTTGAAGATGCACCTTTGGAGGCAAGCATATGGATGTCAGTTAAAACCATAGGAGTGTGTGTAGAATTTGAAGAGGGGAAGGTCACTCAGATGGAACTCTAAGGAGTAGTCAAGTTCAGGCCCCAGACAGGCTCAAGAAGACAGAACTATGTGGGCTCCGTTCATGGATCACGGGGTTTGCACAGAAATAGTCTTGGTGATTGGAGGCTCTTAAGTGACATATGGGTGGATATCTTTGGCTTCTGGAGACAAAGTAAATGAGGAAAGAGGAGGACCAAGAACCTCTCCAAGAGTCAGTTCCAACCCAGCAGGTTTGGAGACCCTGTGACAGGGGAACAGAGGCAGTTCAGTCAGCAAGCATCAGCCCCCTCCTCCCCCCAGATAATCCAAAACATCAATAGGTGGCAGCAAGTCCCCAGAGGTGGTGGAACATGCAGAGCCACCCCTAACTGGTATTTTCCTTGGATCATAGTGTAATGGTTAAGAGTACACACCCTATAGTTGCACTATCTGGCTTCAAATCCTAGCTTTATCATTTACCAATTGTGAAACTTTGGGTAAGTTACTTAACTTCTCTGTGGTCAGTTTTCTTTCCTGTAAAATAAGGGCAGTAATAGCATCCATCTTATAGAATTATTACAATTAAATGGGTTAATGTTTATAAAGTTGTTTATATTGGTGCCTGGTACAAATAAATACTATATAAATATAAAATGAAAAATGAATAATTCTATTCACTCATGAATATTTACCGACCAGCTAGTATATGTGAAACACTGTTGTAGTTGCTGGAGACACACTAGTGTATAAGGCAGGTAAAAATCCCAGTCCTCATGAAAGATTTTTTTTTTTTTTTGTATTGGGGATTGAACCCAGGAGCTTAACTACTGAGCCACATTCCCCAGCCCTTTTTTATTTTGAGTCAGGATCTCATTGAGTTGCTGAGGGCCTCACTAAATTGCTGAGACTAGCTTTAAACTTACAATCCTCCTGTGTCAGCCTCCTGCTAGGATCACAGGCATGCTCCACCATACCTGGCTTCATGAAATTGTTGTTGTTGTTTTATACTCCATTTAATTAATTTATTTTTTAATGTGGTACTGCAGATCAAACCCAGGGCCTCACACATACTAGGCAAGTGAGTCTATCACCACAGCTCTATCACCACAGTCCCATGAAGTTCTTATCTAGTGAGTGTGGTAGAGATGAAGACAGACAAAATATAAAATAAATAAGCAAAATATACAGTCTGTCAGATCCAAGTGGAGACATGAGAGATGTGCAGGAATTAGTGAGTAGATTAGCACCCAGTGTACAGTGGTGCTCAGGGGATGGAAAGAGGAAGGCAGGCTTTAGACAAGCAACTATATGGAATCCCCAGCAGAGACACTGGGGATGCTGAAAGCCTCAGAGTAACAACCAACATCTTTACCCTCATAAAATAGAAAAAATACTTATATAGCACTGTCCTATAGCAGATCTGCTTATTCTCTTTACTTATATCATCTCATTTAATCCTTATAGCAAATCTATTTGGTACCACTATTCTTCCCATTTTTCAGATGGGAACTGAGGCACAGAGAGGTTAAGTAACCTGCCTCACAGAGTTAGTAGGTGAATGAGCGGGGATCCCTGCCCAGGTCATCTGGCTCCAGTGTGGGTAGGATCATACCTTCAGGTAGAAGGGACAGGACAGGTTGCTAAGCATCAGGACTAGGTGGAGTCTGAGCTTCAGACAGACTGGAAAAAATATACACCCCCCAATACCTACACACCCAAGGCCAATGTACTTAATACATATTTCAAGGTCACTCAGAGGGACTGGAAGTAACAAAAGGCTCAGTTTCTGAATGGTCTGTCCCCTCTACACACCACTCCGTGCTTTAAGTCCAGCTTCTTGTGACCTTTAGTCACCATCCCAAAGCCCTGTAATCCCACCCAGAGACCATATATGAAATAATGAATATCATAATCCTGAGTTGCTTAACAGAGACACCAACAACTTCATATTGCAGCTTGGAACCAAGAAAGCAAATCATCAAGCTGGGTGCAGTGGGGCACGCCTGTAATCCCAGTGATTTGGGAGGCTGAGGCTGGAGGATTGCAAGTTTTTGAAATTAACCTCAGCAATTTAGCAAGGCCCTAAACAAGTTAGCAAGACTCTGTCTCAAAATGGAAAATAGAAAGGGCTAGGGATGTAGTCTAGTGGTAAAGAGCCCCTGCATTAAATCCCCACTACACACAAAAAAAAAAAAAAAAAGAAAAGAAAAGAAAGAGAGAGAGAAAGAAAAGGAAGAAAGTCATCAAGAGGCTGAGATACAGAAGCAGATGGGACTCAGGGCCCACAGAGAGCTGGAATGCACAGTAGTAAAATCCCAGAGAGGGGGAAACCCTCATGAATTTACAAGACCCTTCTATATCCTTCCTAACCTCCCTTGACATCATCCAATTCTTACTTTAGGCAAGGCAGAAGTTGCCAGACCAAGTTGTCAAATGAGGGAATTGTGTCCCAGAGAGAAGCAATCATTAAAGATCACATACAGTCAGGTGCTCAAGAGTCCTTCCACTTCCAGAGAGAGAGAGAGAGAGAGAAGGAGAAGAAGGAGGAGGAGGAGGAAGAGGAGGAGGAGGGGGGGGCTGGGGTTGTAGCTCAGTGGTTGAGCACTTGCCTCACATGTGTGAGGCACTGGGTTCGATCCTCAGTACCACATAATAAAAAAATAAATTATATATATATATATGGAGAAGGAGGAGGAGGAGAGAAAAGATGTGGGGGCAGCAGCAGGAGGCGAGTGGCAGTTAATTGGAGAGGCACAGGCTAAAACGGAAGACCCAAGTGCAGAGAAATTCTTCTTCATGATCTTTAAGGGACCTCACCCTTAGCCTCCTGATAAGCCCTCCAACCCTAAATTCCCTCTGTACATTGATTGGCAGCATCATCTTCATTCCATTCGCAAACTCAGGCAAGCTGAGTTCTAAGGGGAAAAGAAACACCAAAGTCCCTCACTCAGCACTTGACAGTTTCCAACTTCATAATCATTGAACTTCAGAACCTTTCTTTTCTTTTTCTTATTGGGGATTGATCCCAGGGGTGTTTAACCTCGGAACCACATCACCAGTCCTTTTTTATATTTTATTAGAGACAGGGTCTCGCTAAGTTACTTAGGGCCTTGCTAAATTGCTGAGGCTGGCTTTGAACTCTCAATCCTCCTGCCTCAGCCTCCTAAGCCTTTGGGATTACAGGTGAGCGCCACTGCACTCGGCAAGAGCAGGGCATATTGATAAAGTTGATCCTCCTTTCCATCCCCCTGCTGTTACCCATTGTACAGATGGGAGATCAAGGTCCAGAAGCAAGAAGTGACTCTGTAGTCTGTAGCAACTCAGGCACAAGAATATAGGTTTCCTGACCAGTGCATACTGGAGAGGGACCTTTCCTTCTCTTGCTTGAAGTTTTGCATGAGTTCACTGCAAAGAGCTGTACTCTTGACATATGTATATGATCTATGCATTCTTGGCTATGTGGTGACTGAGTGCTTTGGGAACTCCTCCTATAAAATGTAAGTTCCACAAGAGCAGAGATTTTTGTCTGTTAGTCCCTGATTATCTCCAGTCCCTGTAACAGTGTCTAGTCCATAGTATGTGCCCTATAAATATCACTCAAGTGAATGTATAGAGAGCCAGGTTAGGGAAGTGGCACCGTGAAAGAGCCTAAAGTCTAAAGATCAGGGAACCATGGGCTTCGTCTTCGTATACACAACAGGCTAAAATTCTGTTCAGAAATATTTCGTGAGTCCTTTACAGCAGTAGGTACTGAACTTGATGGTGAGGATTTAGATAAGAGCAAGACAGTCATGCTGTGACCTCAGGCGAAGAGTAGGGGTGGGAGGTGTGAGTGGCAAGGAAGCAGCCCGCTCAACATAATACAGACTTTTTTTCTCAGCCTGAGATGTCCTGAAATGGTCTCACTGATCGGAAATTGGTGAGTGCAGCGGGACTGCAGTGTTCCTGCAGGGCGCCGGCCGCCCACCTGTCAGAGGCTGAGCCAGGAGTATGCGGAAGAAATTTCTGCCTTGGGTGAGGTCACTTTCCACCCCCAGATTCTCTGCCTACTAACCCCTGCAATTCTTTGACGCTGAAGACTTCGGATATTGTTATTTTCTGACTTTCAAGGTCCCATGATGCTGACAGTCCCAATTCTAAGTCGTAAGTCTGCCAACGCTCCTGGTCCCCAAAAGAATACAAGCGAATTCAAGCCAATGTCCCACCACCCACTGCCTCAAAAGGTCTCTGGGATAGTCAGTGCCCTCCGCCCCACCTCGCGGGGGCTGTAGGGGAATAGCTCAGAGCCCGGGTGCCGTGGACGTCGTGAGACTGGTCTCGGAGGCAGCGTTGACAGAGCCGGGACACGTGACAGTCAGAGTCACGTTCTGCGGTTTGCGAGGCTGGGACCAAGCCGCTCACGTGACGCGAGGGGCGCTATGGGGTGATGTGAGATGCGGGTCTTTTTCGATTACATAGAAATGACGCATTCCCACCCCTTTTGGCAACAGATTTCCGTTGGAAGAAGCGACGGTTCCGGTAAAGGGGGAGGGCTGTAGCATTGAAGCAGTTTTGCTTCCGTTCGGGGCTCTATAGCTTCCGACCTCGCCTTTCCCTCGGGCGAGGAAGAGACGCGACCTGCTGCGCATGCCCCAACTATCCCAGAGGGGCGGGGCTGAGGCTACGGGAGCGGGAGGGGGGGAAGAAAAGGGAATTCCAACCTGTGGAACTTGGGGGGGTCCTGAAGTCGGCTCCTTCCCATTGACTGTGGACAGTGCGAGGGTCAGGGTCTTTGGCGGCTCATGAGGGTGTTGGGGTCCGCAGGGTGAGGGAGGGGGCTGTCAATGCGAGTGGGGTGCGGGACTTCCAAACTTAGAATCTTGAGGCCCTCTGGGCTCAGACGCCGGGGAGAGAGCTCCCGCCGCCATGCGGGACAGGACCCGCGAGCTGAGGCAGGTGAGAAACTGGGGAAGTAGGGTTGGGGGCTGGAGGACCGACTGGATTGCAGGAGCCCTGGTCTTCGGGACAGGGAGGGGTGGCTGATGGCCAGGAAGGAAAATCCCGGAAGACTATGGGTCCTGCGGGGCGAGAACTGCAGCATGAAAATGGTGCCAGTGACTTCGGCCCTGGCAGGGGGATAACAGTTCGGACGATGAGGACAAGGAGCGAGTTGCGCTGGTGGTGCACCCGGGCACAGCTCGGTTGGGGAGCCCAGACGATGAGTTCTTCCAGAAGGTAAGGGGCTGGGGTCTTGGCCTGGATTCTCGAGGGGGTAGGAGGACCGAGGAGCAGTGAAATCTGGAGTACCCCAAATCTCTTTCAGCCCTCTCGGTCATCCTTCTTAGGTCCAGACAATTCGGCAGACTATGGTCAAGCTGGAGAATAAAATCCGGGAGTTGGAGAAGCAGCAGGTCACCATCCTGGCCACGCCCCTTCCCGAGGAGAGTAAGCGAAACCCCGGGTGTACGCATGCTCAGCCCAATGGATTGTGGGGGTTGTAGTTAAGTGCAGGGTGATTTCTTGAGGTGGGGGCTGTGGTTGGGGAATCAAGGCCTTCTCTTGTTTAGGCATGAAGCAGGACCTGCAGAACCTGCGTGATGAGATCAAACAGCTGGGAAGGGAGATCCGCACTCAGCTGAAGGGTGAGCTCCTAGGTCCTCCCTTCCCTTTGGTTCTTCCCTGTTCCTGGTATGTCTGGGGAGTTTTTGCCTCTGAGAGGCCAGTGATACATCCAGGTCACACAGCAGCCTGGGTCTAGAATCTCTGTACCCTGGCATCCAGTCCACTGTACTTTTCATAACATATGCCTGCTTTTTAGGTTCCTTTATTTAGAATGAAACCATTTACTCCTATAGTTCTTGCTGCTCAATGTGCGTTCTTTGGGTTTTGTTATGAGTCTTCTTCATACTCATGGGAACTCACTGATATAATGCAAGGAAAAATAAACTTTCTGTTGCCAGAGGCTCAAAATTGGTGTCCCCCCCCCCCACTCCCTGACCCCATGGTGTTGGGAATCTAATCCAAGGCCTTGTGTATACTGTGCATACATTTTACCACTGAGCAACATCCCCAGCCCCTAGTCAGTTTATCATAAGTTATAGTTCCCTAAAAAATTCCCCAGAAATGAGAAGCTCCCTATTAGGTAGCTGTGATCTGGCTGTGGCCCTTTTTCCTGGTTTCCAATTTCCAGAAGTCTTGAGTCAATATCCTTTTCTCCGGACTCTTGCGTCTTCCCACAGCCATAGAGCCTCAGAAGGAGGAAGCTGATGAGAATTCTAACTCCGTCAACACAAGAATGAGAAAAACCCAGGTGGGTTTATTTTTCCTAGAACTAGGACATTTCAGTAAGTGGTTCATAAATCATTAAATGGCAGATGTATGAAAGAAGGGCCCTTTAGAGATCCTTGAATCTTAACCTGATGATTTTCCAAATAGGGAGCTGAGGCTCAGAAAGGGAAAGTATTCACTTAAGGTGAAGAACCTAGTTTTCCTGATATAAAATCTATTATAACACCCTGCTTTCTTCTTCTCCATTCAGTGAATTTCTTTGTTCATAGACATGACCTTGGCTTGCCTACAGGAGACATGCTTTCAAGAAATGAGATTGGGAATATGGGTTGATTAGGGAGCAAACACATTATTCATGTATGACTTGGTGACTCTGCACAGACAAAGAGAAGGAGAAGTCAGAAATGACTGGCAACTTTCTTGCCTACATGGCAGGGACATCCTTGGCCCCATGGACAGTATACAAGAAATCAGGAAGAGGAACTTTGCTAGGGCAGCACCGAAGAGGAACTTCACTGGGATGACATCTTAGTAAGGAGATTTGAAGTGATCTGACTGGCTCCCTCTGGGTGTCCAGTGAGAAGTGGCTTGGGGTTCTTGGAGGTTAGGGTTGGAGTTGGTGGACCCAGAGCTCAACAAAGGTCCCAAATCAAAGATGAGGAGGTTGGAGCATTTTGAAAGGGTGCAGTTGAGTCCAGGAGAGCAGATATATCTCTGAAGAAAGAATTCTAAAGGATGAGCTTATTTAAAATATCAGTGGAAGAACAAGGTGGAACAAAATGCCCCGGAGAGGATGTTTTAGGGAGAACCTAAAGCATGGTGATCACCAGTTTAAGCAGTGAGACTGGCATTCAGCAAGCATTCAACATACATACATTGATTGCTCACTGTGTGCTGGACCCTTTTTAAACCAAAAATCCATATTTTGAGGGACTTATATTTTAGTGGGGCAGGACAATCGCCATAATAATAAAAACACAATAAGTATTAAGGACAAACGAGTAGGAGAAGAGGGTCAAAGAGTGCTGAGAAGGTAGGGTTGCAATTTTAGTAAGGTAGATGGCTGACAGTAGTGTTCGGTGGTAGTGCTTGTGCTTAGGATGTTCAATCTCCAATCCCTAGAGCCACAAAAAAAAATTTTTTAAAAGATGGAGAAAAGCTGGGCGCTGTGGCACATGCCTGTAGTCCCAGTGGCTTGGGAGGCTGAGACAGGAGGACCATGAGTTCAAAGCCAGCCTCAGCAAAAGCAAGGCACTAAGCAATTTAGTGAGACTCTGTCTCTAAATAAAATATAAAAAAATACATCTGGGGATGTAGTTCAATGGTCGGGTGCCCCTGAGTTCAATCCCCAGTACCCCCCAACCACAAAAAAAAAGGAAGAGAAAGCTTCATTCAGAATGTGACATTGGAACAAAGATTAAAAGATGTTTGTGGGGAATAAGCATACTAGACAGAAGAAGCAGTGAATTCAAAGGCTAGTAGTGGAAGTAAGGAATAAGGAACACTCTGGAGGGAAAGAGGAGATAAGGTCAGAGAGTTACTGGGGTCAGAGCAGATCGTGTAGGGCCATTTAGGCCTTGGTTAGGGCTTTGGCTTTCACTCAGAAGTGAGGGAGCCTGTTAGGATGGTTAAGGCAGTAGGCACCTCATGACAGTTCATGTTTGCTCACTATATCCTTGGGATGCTGAGGCCCAGAGAGGCAGGGATCCTCCTGAGGTGCCCAGCTTGTATTCTCCATCCTTAGCATGGGGTGCTGTCCCAGCAATTTGTGGAGCTCATCAACAAGTGCAACTTGATGCAGTCTGAATACCGGGAAAAGAACGTGGAGCGCATTCGGAGGCAGCTGAAAATCAGTGAGTTGGAGCTCTAGACCTGTGGTGTCGGGTAATGCTGACCCAGCTCTGAGCTGGCCTTTTCTTTTACAGCCAATGCTGGAATGGTTTCTGATGAGGAGCTGGAGCAGATGCTGGACAGTGGGCAGAGTGAGGTGTTTGTATCCAATGTGAGTGCCCATGGCCATCTTCCCTCTGCTGGGCCTCCCATTTTCTCTGATCCCTGGTGCCTTTTGACTCAGGGCATACTGCAGCCCAGTATGGAGTCACTCATCAGGTTCCTGACTTTGCTCCTTGGCTAGGGGACTGCCCCCAAAACCCAACAGGAGCTTCTGACCTGTTGCTGGTCACCCTGTGATCTATTTCCTCTCTTCTGTCCACATCCCCCCAGATACTGAAGGACACACAGGTGACTCGACAGGCCCTAAATGAGATTTCAGCTCGGCATAGTGAGATCCAGCAGCTTGAACGCAGTATCCGTGAGCTTCACGAGATCTTCACTTTTTTAGCAACTGAGGTGGAGATGCAGGTGGGTACTGTGGGCAGCCCCCAGATGGGAGGCTATGCATAGTCAGAGCCTTCAGTCTCAACCTGGGACCAATCTCTCCACCCTTAGACTCTTTCCTGGGCTTTTGTGCTCTTCCAGGCTTGGCCATGTCTCAGGTGGCCCCTACTTCCATCCCTAGCCAAATCCCCAGAATTGTGCCCACCTCCACTGCTACCCAGATGGCCACTCCTTTGTACATAACCTCCCATCCATCTCTCCAATTTGCACCTACCCCAGGTATGGCCTCAATCATGGCTCCTCCACTACCAACAGAACCCACCTTCATGATTCTAAGAGCTCCCAAGTTTCCCCCTAGAGGACCTGCCTTCTAAAATTTGAGCAAGGTTGGGGTGTCAGTGGTATTCCTCTGGCCCATTGTAGGAGCTGAGGTAAGCTTCCAGCCCTGTCCTTGAGGAGCTGACCTCAGTAGTGCTACAGCCAATGCCCTTTTGCAGCTGGGAGTCATGGGAAAGGGCTTTCATTCAGTAGGAGTACCAGGACCTGAAGGCTGGTAGTGTCAGGAGGAGGCAGGAACAGGGAGGGCTTCATAGCAGCTGGGAAACAGACATAGAAGAATGGATGAATTCAGATAGATTTGTAAGGGGACAAAAGTTCAATATCTATGAAAAAGGTAGGAGCCATTTGAGGCCCGTGGCTCCATCTTGCCCCTACAAAAGGAGGTTGTATGAAATAAGGGAACAGGGGAGAAGGGACCACATTGATTGAAGGAGCCCAGGAAGCCGTCCTTAGGAGTCACAACTTTTATCAGATCTGGTCCTGCCATATCTTCTTTAGTGCAGTTTTTTTTTCTAAGACTGTCCTTTAGTCATTTGTGTCTGGGGTGGGCAAAGGAGTTGCTGGGCCCCCCTTGCCTGGTCATCCCTGTCTCCCTAAATCATTCTATCCTCTGTGCAGGGGGAGATGATCAACCGGATAGAAAAGAACATCCTGAGCTCAGCAGACTATGTGGAACGTGGGCAGGAACATGTCAAGAAAGCTCTGGAGAACCAGAAGAAGGCGAGGAAGGTGAGCCTCCAGCCCTGGCCCCAGCCCCAAGTGTTCCTGAGTGATTTTCCTGACTCCTCTTCTCCCACAGAAAAAAGTCATGATTGCCATCTGTGTGTCCATCACTGTTCTCATCCTAGCTGTCATCATTGGCATCACCACAGCAGTTGGATAATGTTGCTCATTCTCGGTGAGATATGGTGGGCTTGCCCTGTTCCTGGCACCAGCCTTCCCGCCTCCCCTCAGACCCTCTTCTCCCTCCTTCCCTTGCAGATATGGGGAGTACCAGGGACTGGGGGCCTGGCCTTCTCTCCCAGCAGCTGTGGGGGCAGGGCAGAGTCTCCAGCTGGACCCCTGTCCGGACACTGGCCCCTGCGCAAAGGGGCAGATGGTTTTTTCAGGATTGACAGCTGCTTATTCAGTGGGGCCTCCCCCTTCAGGCCATGATGCCTGGGGAAGGGCCTGTAGTGTCCTGTTTGACTGGGACACATGGTTTTGTAAAAAAATTAAAAAATCTTGGAGACCCCTGTGCATGTGTGTTCCTAGAAGGATTGGCCCAGGGCTTCCACTGTCTAGCTTCCCACCTCCTGGACACTCCTGGGGCCAGGCTCAGTCAGACAGGCTCAGATCAGAGTGCCCTAGGTGTTGTGACCACAGCAGACTGGCTCTGTCCGTCTGTTCTCCCACAGAATGGGTAGAGTGTGTTGGGAAGAGATTCTGTCTGGCTCCCAGCTCATACTGTGCCCCCACTGTGAGTACATAAACCTGAATTGATGAGCTTATCAGGCAAGAAGTGTGTGTGTGTGTGTGTGTGTGTGTGTGTGAGACAGAGAGAGAGAGAAAGATATTAGTAGTGTCCCTGAGGCCAAAAGGAAGAGGCATCATGAAAAAGTAATTGAGTAACTGAGGCTGTTACTTTGGGTACAGTGGTCAGGAAGGTCTGGTCTCAGAGGGGACATTTATTTTGAATGGTAAATGAGAAGGATTCAGTTATAGAAAGATGCAGCCAAAGAGACTGCCAGGCAATCTCAGCAACCTAGGCCCTTTACCTAAAAGGCATTGCTTTTTATGAGTTCAACTTGGAGAGCCATGACCCCAGAACAGCATACCTGATTACTGCAAGGTTACCAGGTGGAAGGAGGTAGAAGAGTCAGAAGAGCAAGGACCCTGATTTCCATAAGACATATGAACTACAAACCCTAACTCTAAATTCTAAGCATTCCTAGTCCACATGCCTCATTTCTGGAGGATGTGGCTCCTGTCCCAGACACTTGGTTTCAAAGGGTAAGCTGATTCCTGGCTCTGATGCCTGGTTGGAATAGGGGTGTGCTTGGCTCCGGTCCCCAAGGTCTGGGGGCAGAGTTTTAGTGGCCCAGTCCATCCCACTTTCAATCCTACAGGCTGCTACTGCCCCTTTTGGCTCAGGCCATCCAGCTGCAGGATGTACCAAGAATTGGGGAATGGATACATGTGGTGTCATTGGTGCATTTGGTGTGACGCCTGGAAATGAGTTGGGGGAGGGACTGGAGGGCAAGACTGGGTGCAAGGATTGGAACAAGCTAATGGGGGCCTGCTCTCCCTCCACCTGTGGCAGGGTAGCTGCCTGCAGCACCTACCTATGGCCCTAGAGTGGCAACTGACAACATCTGTATCTGGTCAGAGATCTCTAGCAGCTTGGCCAGCAGTTTGTGTGTGGGGTGGGGGGTGAGCTGAGGCATTGGCTTGGTTGCAACTGGAAAATGATTGGCTAGCGGACTTAGGGGTGGTCATCTCTACTCCTTGGTATTAAATAGTTCTTAGATCTAGGAAGCTGATATGGGCAGGACTTCCAAGTGAGTCCACAGACAGGCAAAAGTGGTTGGATCTCAGAGCTCCAGGGGCAAGACGAAACTTCCAAAAGAGGAGGGAGGAATTGTGGAGGGACTTGCAGGGGTAGTGAGTTAAGGACTTTACAGCAAAGAGCTTCCCATTCCCAGGAGTGTGAAAACCCAACCTAGATGACCACTCTATGGGGAAGCTGGGAGAGCTGGGAGGATCCTGCCCCAATACCAGACTGAATTTGGACTTGGGGGCCTCTGGGCTTCCCTGATTCTCCACCTTTTCCTCCTGTTGCCTGCATCTCCAGTGGAATTCTTTCCAGTTGGCTGCCTTTGTCCTCTCTTACCTCTCTGCCTTCAGAGTAAAACCACAAAATCTGTGGCATCTATGGGGATCTGATTCTTTGGGTATCCACATCTATGCAGCTGGATGTTCTTAAACTAAACAACATGTTAGTGCTTCTTTGCTGTGCTGGACAGCGCCACCCCTGAAAGAGAGATCACCTGTCTCACCCAGAAAACCTTTCAGAACCTCCTGGAAGAGGTGACTAGATGATCAGGTGAGCCCTTGGATGCTTGGTGGGCTCAGTAGTTTGAACTTCTGTGGATTGTGGGGACGCATTAATGGTTTGAAGAGGTGAGTAAAATTTTGGAACAGACCTGGCAGGCACGTGAGTAAGTGGAGCAATGCATCAGAGCTCCCACAGGTTTCCCTGTGTACACACCATTCCTTGTGGGACACTGACCTCTGGAAAGAGTCAAGAGGAGGTAGATTTTGCATTGAAATCCTGGTGATGTTGCTTTGCTTTAGCTTAACTTTCAAGGAACAGACTATGGGTTAACTGTAACTTTTTCAAATCTACCTGTTTACAGTCTAGCTGCAACTTACTCAATATTTGTGGTTCAATTTCCCAAGAAGCTGGTCTAGTCCACTCTCCAGGTCAGGCTACGTTGACCTGCCTAGGAATTGTCTGTCCTTGAGTCATAACTTTATTCTTGGCCAAGATGTATGTAGGGTGCTACATGGTACCAAATGCTGTAGTGGAGTGTGTATGTGGTGGATGGAGGAGTGAACAAGTTCAGTGATTGACATCTTTGGTACAGCCTTGTGGCAGATAGAATTATTGTTTCAAATATTTATTGTCCTTCCCTACTGGGCCTCTCACTATAGGAGAATTATACACTCATGCCCCACTGACAGGAGTGGGGCTCTGTGCCTTGGCTTTCTTTGGCCAATGGAATATGAGTAGAAAGGTAAAGTATCACTTCCAAACATGAGCTGTATGTGGTGGCACATGCCTATAAATCCCACCTAGTGGGGAGACAGGCAGGAGGATCACAGGTTCAAGGGCAGCCCCTGCAATTTAGTGAGACCTGTCTCAAAAAATAAAAAAGGAGGCTGGGATATAACTCAGTGGTAGAGGCCTTCTGGGTTCAATCCCCAGTACAACAAACAAAAACCAAAACCAAAAAAAAAAACTCCACAAAGTAATCTGGCAGCTTCCCTTGTCTTTTCCCTCTGCCATGAGCCTGGCAATTTCTAGATCTAGAATTCTCTTTGAGCTTGGAGCTCACAATGAAATGACATGAAAGTAGGCTATAGCCAGCCCACATGTAAGATGATGTGTAATGTGAAAAACATGTTTCTGCTGTTGGCTACTGATGTATTAAAGTTGTTCATCACCATATTATAATTAGTTTGAAATCTGTTACAGAATTAATACCTAAAATTGTGGTGCTGCTACAACAACAAAAACAAAATAAGCCTAAATTACGTGGCATCGGCTTTGAGCTAGACAGTTACTGGTGAAAAACTATTGGAAGTTGGGAGAATGGTGATACTTGTTTTGAAGTCATGAAGTATCTTGTTAAACTAAACTGGGAATAACCAAGAATATAATAATGACTAAATGACTTTAGGGCTTTAGGCAAAAGTTAGGAAAAAAAAAATATTAAAATAGCATACATTGGCCACCGTTGGGTGCATTGATAGATTACTTTAAGAAAAGAACAACTCAGAAAAAATGGTGAGTTATTTTAAATTTGTTTTTTAGTTGTAGTTGGTACAATATCTTTTTTTTGGTACAATATCTTTATTTATTTATTTTTATGTGGTGCTGAGGATCCAACCCAGTATCTTACACGTGCAAGGCAAGTGCTCTACCACTGAGCTACAGCTCTGCCCCAAAATTGGTGAGTTTTTAAGCAGAAATGAAAGAGAATAAAGAAACTCCAGTCAGGTGATACACTTTCCCCCACCCCAGTAATGGATATTGAACCCTGGGGCACTTTACCACTGAGTTACATCCTCAGCTGTTTTAATTTTTTATTTTGAGACAGGATCTTTTTAAATTGCCCAGGCTGACATGAAACTTGTGATTCTCCTGCCAAGCTAGGAGTGTGTATATGTGTGTGTGTGTGTTAGTTACTGGGGATTGAACCCAAGGGTGCTCTACTAATGAGCTACATCCCCAGCTCTTTTTATTGCTAAATTTCCCAGGTTGACCTCAAACTTGTGATCATCCTGCCTGTCTTAATCTCCTGAGTCACTGAGATTACAGGTGTGCACCACAGTGCCTACATGACATACTTTTTTTTATTAGTTGTTGATGGACCTTTATTTTATTTATTTATTTACATGTGGTGCTAGAATCGAACCCAGTGCCTCACACATGCTTGGCAAGCACTCTACCACTAAGCCACAACCCCAGCCCATGATACACATTTTTTTTTTTTTAAGAGAGAGTGAGAGACCAACAGAGAAAGAGAGAGAGAGAATTTTTTAATATTTAATTTTTAGTTTTCGGCGGGCACAACATCTTTGTTTGTATGTGGTGCTGAGGATCGAACCCAGGCCGCACGCATGCCAGGCGAGCGTGCTACCGCTTGAGCCACATCCCCAGCCCCCATGATACACATTTTTAACCAGTAAAAGATACAACTAGCTGGGTGCGGTGGCACATGGGCAGGAGGATTGTGAGTTCAAAGCCAGCCTCAACAAAAGTGAGATCCTGTCTCTCTAAATAAAATACAAAATAGGGCTGGGGATGTGGTCACATGCTCCTGAGTTCAATCCCTGA